CCCCCCCCTCACCTGGGCGCCCCCCTCCCAGTCCCCTCCCTCCATGTTCTCCCCTCAGCCAACTACACTCCTTCCGACTTTCGTCCTCTTTCTTTAAGGGCAACAGCCTTGCATTATCATCAATTGAAGGGACCAGCCCCGGGTAATGCAGAGTTATTTAATTCATCAGGAACTGAACTCAGGTCTCTTCGACAACCGTTCAGGGGTGTACCATTCAGCCAGTCCCCGGGCTTCATTGTCCGTTTCCTTTGATGTTTTTTTGGTCGACCGTTACTGCGTCCTTCCTTTTACGTTTTTTTGGTGTACCAGGGCACGGGCATCAGAATTTTAAGTTTTTTAGGGGTAACCCTTTTTGGGTGGTGGTTTAGTTTTGCCCTGCGCAGAAACGTACACACACCCACCTTTAAAAAAAAGAAAAAATAACAAACACACAAACACACACACCTTCCTAGTCTCGAGGTTTTTCCACACATTGCCAGCCATGCCCAAAATCAGCACGACTGTGATTTGAAAGAAAAACACAGCTCCTGACAGCTTGTCAATCATGCCATCGGCTGCCGTCAGCTTCGGTCGCGAAACTCCCTTGCTCATCCCCAGCTTTGTCTCATTGCCTGATGAAAAAGACAAATAGGATCAATCAATACCAGAAATTACGTGTTCAAAAGGGGGTTAAAGGGGGTTCAAGGGGGCTTAGAGGGCGTTCTGAAAGATGCAGTTTAAAGGGCGGTTTAAAGAGGGGCTAAACGGGCTTAGAAGGGGTGAACCTTGGATTCTTTTTTTTTTTTTTTTTTTGGTTTCGATTAAAMAAGGAACTCTGAGGTGACACTCAGCCAAAAAGGTTGTTTACCAACTTTTGTGCTGGGGCTGCCCAAAACTTACCTAGCCAGTAAGTCGCCAGGCCTCTCATTCCAGGCAGCCAGTGGCAGCCTGGGTGCCCTGAAACACTCTTCGCTCATTCCCACCTTTGCCTATTGCATAATGCAAGAGACGAACAAGATTTCCTTATGAAAAGGACAAAACACAGTCGTGGGATCGATTGTCTCTCGCGCCTAGCAATACAACAAATTGTCAAGTTGTGAACATTCAGGCTTTCAGCAATTGGAATCGATCGTTAAAGTGTTTCATCAGACATTCCATGTTCAGCATCTCCAGTACAAGAGCACATCCAAAATTCAACACAATAGAAATATGCGTCGTGAAACCTGAATGCTGTGTATCACCCACCCAAAGACTCACAACTTTCCGGGTGCATTTGTCTGACATCTTGCACAAAATTTGTCAGTCCGAATTATGTACAGAGACCACAGCACCATACACCTTTACCTGTCTAAATCACAGTGAGTGGCTGCCTGCAAGCCTTACACACCCATCGTACATTGGAGAAACCTTGGGAAGGCCGCGCTGGTACTGGTGGTTTAACCACTCGAGAGTCGAAACACCAAGTTGGTAGTCTTGTCGATTGTCCTGTTGCACCTCTCTTTCCAAATGACCCACAGTCATTCCGCTATCGTTCATTTTCCTTGCACTAAGGAAGGCCAAGGACCGGGGAAAGGAAGCCCTGTAACAGTCCCCCCCTTGCCAGGGGGCTAGTGCCACAAGGGATGGTGTGATCTTCTTTCTCATTTTCCTCCCCCCCCCCCCCCATCTATTGGATGTAAAAACTTGCTTGGTGGTGATAAGCAACCGGACTGTTGCCAGCCAGAATAGAAGGGGCGTGGGTTTTTTGAAAGGAAAAAAAAGAAAAAGGAATACCTTGAATAGGGTAACCTATGATTTGAGGGAGATTAAAATACACGGGAGGGGAGATGATTAGACAAGTAGCCCGATGTGGGTTAATTACAGCTGTATCTGGCAAAATATTCAGACCACATGCAGATGTTTTTCTTGACAATGGATAGGCTCACCTGTGTAAACAGCGACACCACATGCCCATTCAGTGTTGCGAAGGACACAGGACTGAAGAATTGTATTTCTCACTGACAGCGAGCAGTACTCAGTGTCGATAAAAGGGGGAAACAACCGCAAATTCCCATCAAATCTCATGATGTCTTTGTCAGGCAAAGGGCACTCGATCACTCCCTGTTTGTCGAGCCATTTACGCACAACCAAGTACAAGCAACGCACAACGAAATACAAGCAAGTACAATGTTTAGCATTAGTTTTAAGTTTATGTTTTTATGACAAGTTGAACCGTCAGATGTACAGTGCACAACGTGCATGCAGCAAAGTGGATACATCAGTGTGCAGCTGTGCCACTATGCTGCAGTGTTGCATATCCCAACGGTCGGCGGCCCTTGACTGGCCGGCACCTGCCGGTCAGGAG